GCCCCCCCGCGCCCCCCCCCCCCCCCCCCCCCCCCCCCCCCCCCCCCCCCCCCCCCCCCCCCCCCCCCCCCCCCCCCCCCCCCCCCCCCCCCCCCCCCGCGAAAAGAAGAACTTACCATAAGTAGTCTCGGGCTTGGTTTCGCAGAACCACTTGAACGTCTCGTTGGTGCCGGTGAGGAGATCGTCGTTGGGGAACTCGGCGACGACCTGGTCCACGATGGTCTGGTTGATGCCGAACACGCCGGCGCCGCGATAGTCGACGGCGATGCCCTGGATGGAGCCCCAGACCAGGGGCTCCTTGTGAGAGGCGATGCCATACGCGCCCTGGAGCGCGATCGCGTCCCACATCTGCTGGACCTTGGCTTTGCTCCACTTCTTGCCGGCCGGGTGGCCCTGGACGAAGGCGCGGGCGCCGTTGGCGCTGTCGACCTCGAAGCGGTTCTCCAGGGTCGTCCAGGGGCTGTCGGGGGACATGTCCCAGCCGAGGTCGTGTAGCAGGATGGTGACTAGTAACCGTCGGAGTCAGGAATTACTTTCTTGAGCGGTTCTTGTGCTCTCGAAGCATACTCCCGAGACATAACGGCCAATGACATTTCGGGAGCTTTCAAGTTGACTAGGAAGGGAAGAAAAATGAACTCTAGAAAGAAGTTACTCACTGGCCTGGGCCTCGGGGTCGACGATGGACTTGAGGGTCGCGTTGTTGTTGAGCTGCTGCGCGCCGTAGAGCCACGAGCGGATCTGGTGCTTGACGACGTAGGAGTTCAGGCCCGAGTTCTTGATCAGAGAAAGGGCGTCGCGGACAAGCTGAGTGTCGACGACCTCAATGCCGGCGATGGTCGTGGTAGGGTACTTGGGAGGACAGGAGCGGGCCGAGGCCACGGCGGCCAGGGAGAACAGGACTGCGGATTTGAGCATCATGGTGAACCGACGGTCAAGGATTGTCACCCGTCCTGAGATTAGAGAAGTAAATAGCTTGGCACACAAGAACTCGGATATATAAAAGAGTGACAAGAAAACCCAGGGGGGTTTGCTTCAGACTGACTGGCGAGAGGGCGAGG